GGGTAACAAGAGCGAAACTCCGTCCCAAAAAAAAAAAAAAAAAAAAAAAGAAAGTCTCTGAACTTTAACTTTTCTAAAAGTCTAAAATTATTTCAAAATAAAAAGTTAAAAAACTAGTTTACTTATATAATGGCTGTGGGTGCTTAGGTTATTCAGTATCTTTGTACTTATTGATATCACATAAATAAGCTGATGTACTCCCAGAAGTCTTAAATGGTGCATACCTAACTAGTTTTCTCAAGTCACACTTCTAGTATTAAAAAGCAAATATGGAATATTTCAATGCATGCTCTTATTTATTGTATAGTTCTCTGAACTCACTTCATGTAAGCTTTATCTCCTTTAATCCTGTCTATCCGAGGAAGCAAGCAGTAAAATTATCATGCTTATTTTACAGATGAGGAAATGAGGACTGAAAGGTTGAATATCGTGCAAAGTCATATATGCCAAAATCTTTTATTTTAATTGGTTTCATTTATATGATATGTCCATTTGGCAGAAATGGCTTACATTTTGAAAATGAATGTTTGTCTTTATTTCCAGCCATCTATGGTGTTCCCTTTTCAACAGATGAGCCTACAGACATTATACCACGAAGCTGTCAGCTAACGACAGATGTTCCACACGTCACACAGTTGCTAAACATGACTAAACTTCGCCAGACTGAAATAAAATTTGGAGGCCATCCTCTAAGATCAGCAGAATCAGGTACATACTCACGCACCTAAATTATAATGTAATATGTCTGCATCCCCCCATAAAGTGTGATTTCCTCAGAAAGGACACTGTCCCTCATTCATCTGTATCCTTAGCACTTAACAAAGTATACTTTCTAGAGAAAGAAGTAGCTGTTTTCTGTGGGTGCTTTCTAGTGTTTTCATACAAGCTGAAAAGAAAACCTAAAAACTTGTAACTGTTTTGGAGTGCATTTTGTTGAATAGCTTATAACTTGATCAGGCACATTTAATGAAACTAATAAAATAATTGTGTTTCCAGAAACCACATATTTACACTATTCACTTTGTAAATTCTCAGTGCAGATTAACTAATGACTATTGCGGAAGATTGTGGAATCTGTTGATCTTACTTTCGTTAATGGGACCCCAGTTCAATTGAACCAGAGAATCAGATCTGGTTATTGAAGTTGAGCATTCAGCTACTAGTGACAAGATGTAGTGGTCCACTAAGCACAAATCAAAACTAGTAATGTACTTAAAAATTACAAGGCAGCCTTCCCAAGTGCCCTCCTGTCCACAGCAGCCATCTTTTTTTTTTTTTTT